GACAGTGTGATCACCAGTCACTTAAGTGTAGGAGAAAACTTGGTTTGGGAATTAGGGTGGGTCATTTAAAGAGAGAAATCTAGGCTCTTCCCTTTGCTTCTGGGCTATTCCAGGGCATATCTTCACCATTATGGACTGGCTTTGTTAAATGTGGTGAACAGACCAGCTTTATAACAGCTTTGCTGCTTGCAAGCTGGGTTTTACCCTTCTGAGCCTCAGCTTCCCCATTAAATAATGCGACACTTGGCATCCATGCTATACATTTGCAAAGATATATATGAAAGTGAACTATGAAATACACTGGAACTATGAGGTGTATTAAGATCTAGAGGGTATGCTACCAAAGACAGGAGCTGGAATGAATAGTTGGATGATGGCTGTAAGTGATGAGAAATCTTGTTTGTGCTTTTGCCCAGAGACATGAAACAGATTGTACAAACATCTTCTAAGCAGTGACTTTTGACTCCAGTGAAAGGCATTGTTGGAGGGATGTGCTTCTAACATGAATCTCTTTGGAAGCTTAGATTGGAGAGGCAGATTCTCTCTTGTGATAAACCAAATGGCTGGTGAAGCGATTTTAGTAACCCTTTCTTGAATGGTGGGAAACCACAGCTGCTTCTCTGGTGGAAAGCAGAAGTGTGTTTGAGTTTGGGGAAGAAGTGGGGAATAACTGAACTTTTTGATAGTTTTTTTTTATAGAAGGAATAAAAATATGTGTTTTTAAAATATATTCTTTTCTAAAGTCATTATTATATCTTGAGTACTTTCTTTGGGACTAAGCCTGTGCCTTGTAATGAGAAAGACACAAAGGTAATATGTAATGAAGTCCCCAATTATGGGGGGTTTCCTTCTAATTAATGGCAGACAATTATACAAGACTGTCTGTGATTAAAAACCCAAACTGCACTGGAGAGGGAAATTGTTATGGGATGTTAGACAAGAAAGAGATCCACACATGTAATAGGGAACTAGTAGCCATTTGTTGAACTGAATTGTGGATGTTGAGATTTGGATTGTTACTAAGTCAAGACAAGCCCTTGTTCTAGGTGGGAACAAACCATGGACCGAGTTCAGAATTGAGAGGAGAACATATGAATCTTCACTGGAGACTAGGTTGGAATTTTGCAGATAGTGGAGACAAAGATGGATAATTATGGATTGGGACAATTTTGGGGGTACTTTCAGTTAGGCCTAGAGATCTAGGTTTTTTTTTTTTTTTTTTTTTTTTTTTTTTTTTTTTTTTGTGTGTGTGTGTGTGTGTGTGTGTGTGTGTGGTGTGTTTCCAGCAGACCTTGGTAGGTGTTCGAGCTTGGAGCTTCTCGTGCAGGGTGCTGCCTGTGAGAGCTTCTGCTTACTTCCTAATGGCCAGAACCAGGAAGAGGTGAAGCTTGCTCATTACACAATGCATCGTGACTCAGTGACCTCACTACTTCCTGTTTTCATTTGAGAAGGGGGTCAGTGGAAGGGGGCCTTTCAGTATAAGGCCGTGAATAGGCACTAGGAGATGTCAAAGATGTGAGGTCTATCAAACTAGCAGGCAGAGCATCTGCATAAACCAGCGTACCAGTGAAGGGATTGAACTTCAGTGGAATAGCAGCGGTGGCCCAGTGACCCATGAACAGGTCTAGGAATTGGAAATAACTCCTGCTTCTGAATCGCATGTGATGTCTCCTAACCTATGTCACCAGCCAATCCTGGTTGTGAATTCGTAGTCTAGTCCATAAGCTCAATAGTAAAATAAATTCCGACATACTTTGTCCTGGGTGCCAGGAGTGCAGGAGAGCACTACTTGGATGACTCTCTTTGTCAAGAAGAGGCCACTGGAAAAGAGGTGGCTGGACGTGTGCTCCTCCCTGCTCACTGATAAGCTGACCATGACATAAGCCAAGCTGCAGGTCCACGGTGCACCACAGGCTCAGGGAAGTGCTGGGAAGAGCTGGGAAGAGCTGCCACTGGCAGTGACAGGGATGCCTTTCTTCCCTGTGGGATATACTGATGGATTGAGTGACTATCCATTCATCAGTATGGATGATCACTCATCAGGCCTGCAGAGATAGGAGCCTCATGAGTTCCTTGGATTGTCAAGTCCGTAGCTGGAGCAGAAGGGGGTTCATTTTTCCTGGATAGATCCCTCATTAGTAGAATGAGGGTAAGAAGGAAATCTACTTTAAAAAAAAAAAAAAAAGCTTCCATCAGTCTAATTTACATACCATAAGAGCCACCCATTTAAAACATATAATTTAATGATTTTTAGTAAATTTACAGACTTGTGTAAATATCACCAAACCTAGTTTTAGGATGTTTTCATCTCCCCAAGGATCTCCTTAGGGCCTTTTGTGGTCAACACTATTCCCACCCTGCAGTCCCAGGCAACCAATAATCTCCTATATTGCCTTTGATAGATTTGCCTAATTCTGGACATTTTGAATAAATGGGATCATAAACTATGTGGTCTTTTGCACCTGGCTTCTTTCCTTTAGTATAATGTTTTGAGGTTCATTCGTGTTGTAGTACGTATCTGTATTCATTTCTTTTCATTGCTGCATAGTATTCCATTGCATGGATATACTGTATATCATGTATCCTTTCATCAGTTAATAAATTATTTCCATTTTTTTGGCGGTTGTGAATAATGCTACTACAGTGGAATTCAGTGGCTGCTGTGACAAATTACACACTTGATGTCTTCTGACAGTGGAGGTTTATTCTTCCACAGTTCTGGAGACAAGAATTAGGAAGTCAAGGTGCAAATAGGGCTGTGCTCCCTCTGGAGGCCCCTGGGGAGATTCCATTCCTTGCTTCTTCCAGCTCCTGGTGGATACTGGCCTTATTTGACTTGAGGTCTCATCAGTTTAATCTGAGCCTCCATCTGCCCATCACCTTCTCTCTGGACATTTTGAATAAATGGGATCATTATTTATTTAATGATCAAAGATCATTATTCAAAGCTGTATCTCTCAGCTTTCTCTGTTTCTCTCTTATAAAGATACATGATTACATTTAAGGCCCACCTTGATAATTCAGGGAAGGCCGCTCCTCTCAAACTCCTTATCATTGGTCATTAGAGAAATGCAAATCAAAACCACAATGAGATACCATGTCACAACAGATAGAATGGCAATCATTAAAAAGTCAGGAAATAATAGATGCTAGAGAGGATGTGGAGAAATAGCAATGCTTTTACACTGTTGGTAGGAGTGTAAATTAGTTCAACCATTGTGGAAGACAGTGTGGCAATTCCTCAAGGATCTAGAATCAGAAATACCATTTGACCCAGTAATCCCATTACTGGATATATTCCCAAAGGATTATAAATCATTTTATAAAGACACATGCACATGTATGTTTATTGCAGCACTGTTCATAATAGCAAAGACTTGGAACTAACCCACATGCCCATCAATGATAGACTGGATAAAGAAAAGGTGGCACATATACATCATGGAATACTATGCAGCCATAAAAAAGGATGAGTTCATAACCTTTGCAGGGGTAAGGGAAGCTAGAAAATATCATTCTCAGCAAAGTAACACAAGAACAGAAAACCAAACACTGCAAGTTCTCATTCATAAATGGGAGTCGAACAATGTGAAGACATGGACACAGTGAGGGGAACATCACACACCGGGGCCTGTTGTGGGGAGAGAGAGCATTTCTCCTAATGTAGATGACGGGGTGATGGGTGCAGCAAATCACCATAGCACGTGTATACCTGTGTAACAAACCTGCACATTCTGTACATGTATCCCAGAACTTAAAGTCTTAAAAAAATTAATCTTTAACTTAATCACCTCTTTTGCCTTACAAGTAACATACACAGGTTCCAGGGATTTGATGTAGATTTCTTTTGGTGGGGGAAACTTTTCAGTCCACCACCACAGCTCTGAACATTCATATAAGGTCCTTATGTAGACGTATGGCTTCATTTTTCTTTGTAGATACCTAGGAATGGAATTGCTAGGTCCTATGGTAAATTTATATTTAACTTTTTGCGAAGTTGCCCAGCTGTTTACCGGAGGAGCATTTTACATTCCTACCAGCAAGGCAGGAGAGTTCTAGTTTCTCCACATTCTTACATTCTTGTCAATTGTTTGCCTTTTTTAAATTTTTTTTTAAAAATCATAGCCATTCTAGTATGTGTGGAGTGGTATCTCACTATGATTTTAATTTGTATTTCCCCATGATTAATCGTGTTGAACATCTCTTCATGTGCCTGCTAGCCATTCATACATAATTTTTGGTAAAATATCTATTCAAAGCTCTCGCCTGTCTTAAAATTGGGTTGTCTTCTTTTTTCGAGTTATGAGTTAGTCTCTTGTTTTGCACAACCTGGCCCAGCCATTGCCAGCCCTAAGGACTGTGGTGGCTGAGGTCACATTGATTAGGAAGTGCCATGGTAACCCAGTTCTGCAGGGCACCTTGGGCTGGGGCCAGTCACCATGGTTGCAACATGCCCTGTGTCAGTTTGTCACTGGAGGTTGCATGGGCCTCACAGGTGGCCTCTTGGCATCAGATTCTGTGTCATGGAAGCCAGGACATGGCTCGTGTGTGTCCTAGAGATCATCAGTTCAGTGGTCTTGCAGGCTGGCATTATCTGATGAACAAGGGTCCTGACCAACAGAATCCTACAATGTATTCTCATTGTAGCCTGATTCTTTCCTAATACTTACCACAATTTTAACTAAATAGTTATTTCTGTGATTATGTATTTGGTGTCTTTCTTCCTTCTACTAGACTGTTAAGTTCCCTCGGGACAGGGGCCATGTCTATGTGATTTGCCCCTCTATCACTAGTCTCCAACACAGATCATGATACGTAGCAGGCAACTGATGGATATCTATTGGATGGCAGAAATGAGTGTCCATTCTCTGCTTTACAATGGATGATTCACATTAAATTATTAAATACAGAGTTGCTTGTTGAACAAGTTGTTCGCGAATCCCTGCATGTGCCTTTAGTGACATGCATTCTGATTTCCCTTTTTTATTTCTCATTTCCAGCAATCTACAACTACAATGCTTCTCAGGATGTGGAGCTCTCCTTGCAGATCGGTGACACAGTTCACATCCTGGAGATGTACGAGGGTAAGTCTGGCTGGCTTTCTGCCAGACAAGGGCAAGGGAAAAACAGTGCAAGTTATTTATTAAAAAGACACTTAGAACAGACATCAACATGCTTTACTTCCTGAAGCAGGGCTCGTGAAAATTCGGGAAGTACTTGGGTGACACAACTGTGAACGGAGTGTGATTTCAAAACAGCCGGCTGAATACATGAGCACAAACATGCACAGACACCAGGGTAAAACCTCATGCATATGTGAAGAGCGCTGGTGTGGCCCGGCCACTTGGGCACAGCAGAAGGATCAGCGACGGAGCTGGCTCGCGAGGAGACACTTGGGACATTGGGCTGGCAGTAGCTCAAAGGAAGCACTGCTGATTAAGGGTCCCTTTCTGTTCAGCACTAAATGTTCCCAGGTTGGGGGAGAAAGTCTTTCTGGTGTTGCTGAGATTCTTTTAGAAAAATTAGGTCAGGACTGCAGCAGGTCCAGAAAGCCTGCTTGTATATTTCCTTCAACTAGGTCAGGCGAGGGTGGTGGTTCCGTTAACCTGTTAGTGAGCTGCAGGGTCATACTCAGGACTGCATGTTTGTGTGCAAAGCACCAGTCATGTCTGTACTTACTCCACCGCAGGCTTCTAACTTCGCCTTGGGTGTCTGTAAATCCTAGCAGAAGGCTTCCTCCACGGATCCACATTTTTAATCCAAACCTCCAGAGCACGACAAAAGCATAGCCAGACCACTGAAATTAAGACCAAACCAAGAACAACCTTTAGGGTCCAGTTATTCTCTCTGAAGGTTAGGGTACAAACGAGGTGGAAGTTAGGCAGATTTGACAGGGGCTGTGCATTTTCCTGGTCTAGCCCCCATGTAAATCCTTGTGTTGGTGAAATGGCAGAGATGGTCCTCCAGAGCCCCATGCAAGTTCCTAGGGCAGGACAGGAGAACACAGGATGAGAAAGAGGAGACAGGAAGGCAAGAGGAAAGGAAGCAGGATTTGTCCATAGAACAGCTAAATTATCTGGTTGCACCGAAGACTCTGCTATTACTGCCACCTCCCTTTAGTTTTTGAGAGAGGCCTGGGGTTTCACATTATCCTTTTCCCTTCCACACAAGTCGTTGTAATCTTGTTGTTCCCAGGGGCAGAGAGAAGACAGACAGGGCTGTGTGAACTTTTCCCTTTTCATTCTCTCTCTACTGCTCATCACCTCAGGCCCGCCAAGCATGAATTCAGAGTCTCCAAGATACTAGGGACAATCGCCTTATCTTTTCCAGATTCCTTTGCTTATGGAAACCACAGCTCTTCCAGTCTTATCAGTTCATACTTCTTTTGTCAGGAGGCCAGGTTAATTCACTCCATCTAGCCTCAATGGATGCACATTTTCCTATTGTGCAGATAAAAAATATATGTTCAGTTTTTCTAACTCTTCCATGTGGGCTTGGAAAGAATGTATATTTAAGGATCATTGGGTACAAAAAGTTCTTTTTTTTTTTTTTTCTTTTTGAGCTGCAGTCTCACTCTGTTGCCCAGGCTGGAATGCAGTGGTGCAATCTCAGCTCACTGCAACCTCCACCTCCCAGATTCAAGCGATTCTCATGCCTCAGCCTCCTGAGTAGCTGGGATTATAGGCATGCATCACCACACCTGGCTAATTTTTGTATTTTTAGTAGAGACAGGGTTTCACCATTTGGCCAGGCTGGTCTTGAACCCCGAGCTCAGGTGATATCCCCATCACGGCCTCCCAAAGTGCTGGGATTACAGGCCTGAGCCACTGCGCCTGGCTGCAAAGTTCTGTGTATGACAATTAGGTTCTAATTTCAGAATCATTTTTCAGGTTTGCTCTATGCTAATTTGTTTTCCTGCTTTTTCTTTTACTGATAGAACTGTGTTAACTCTTCAGCCATGATTGTAGTTTGTGTCTGTTTATGGTGATGTCAGCTGTTGGCTTTATGTATTCTCAGTCTTGTTTTTAGGTGCCTGCTATTTTAGAATTGTTGTGTTAAGCAGTTCTAAATTTTAATTCTTGTTTATTAAACCTTTTATCATTGTCTTCATCTGTAGCAATATGCTAGTTTTACTCTCTGTTGTGTAAAATTGCAGCCAACTCACTGGCAAGTCCCAGGGCTTCATTTTGTGTCCTCCTGGCTTCACAAGACCATCAGAAATGCTGCTCAGCTTCTCAGCTACTCAGGAATCCTTTCTCTTTCTTTTGGAGATGGAGTCTCACTCTGTTGCCCAGGCTGGAGTGCAATAGCACGATCTGAGCTCACTGCAACCTCCGCCTCCTGGGTTCAGGTGTTTCTCCTGCCTCAGCCTCCCAAGTAGCTGAGATTATAGGCGCCTGCCACCACGCTTGGCTAATTTTTGTATTTTTAGTAGAGACGGGGTTTCATCATGTTGGCCAAGCTGATCTCAAACTCCTGACCTGAGGTGGTCTGCCTGCCTCGGCCTCCCAGAGTGCTGGGATTGCAGGCATGAGCCACTGCGCCCAGCCAGGAATCCTTTCTTAAATCAGCAGGTGGATGTCCCAAGTGGAAAGCAGCCCCAGATGCTGGGCTGCTCTTTTTAGGTTTTGGTCTTTTGCAGATTTTGACCTGATAATTCCTTCACTGCTGTGTTAGTTCTTGTGTTTGTGTGCATGGCGGGGTTGGGGGAGGGCGGTGGTTGTATTTGTGTGTATTGTTTTGTCAGGCTTTTGTAATTGTCCTACAGAGTTTGGGAGGGAAAAATGGAGAGTTGGTCTGAAATAAAGTAGACAATGTGTATTGTTGTTGTTTTTTTTTTTTTTTCTTTGAGACAGAGTCTTGCTCTGTCACCCAGACTTGAGTACAGTGGTGTGATCGTAACTCACTGCAGCTTTGAACTGCTGGGTTCAAGCTATCCTCCTGCCTCAGCCTCCCAAGTAGCTGTGATTATAGGCATGTGTCACCATGCCTAGTTAATTTATGTATTTATTTATTTTAGTAGAGACAGGGTCTCTCCAAATTGCTCAGGCTGATCCCAAACTCCTGGCCTCAAATGATCCTCCTGCTGAGGATCATAACCCCAAAGTGTTGGGGTTATAGGCGTGAACCACAGTGCCTGGCCTAGATGATATCTTTTAAATATGTCTTATAATTCTTTTTTTGCTTTTATGTGACCTCAGCATATTTCTAAAAATAGTAAATTGCAGCACTTTGTCCTGTTAGGGTTCATAGCAATAGTAATTTTAAGGATGAGTGCAGAAGCTTACTCCTTAATCCTAGCACTTTGGTAGGCCAAGACAGGAGGATCCCTTGAGGCCTGGAGTTCAAGACCAGCCTGGGCAACATAATGAGACCCCGTCTCTATAAAAAATTTAAAAATTAGGCAAGCATGGTGGCGTGCACCTGTAGTCTCAGTTACTTTGAAGGCTAAGGTGGGAGGATTGCTTTAGCCTGAGAGGCAGAGGTTGCAGTGAGCTGACCATACCACTGCACTCCAGCCTGGGGAACAGAGTGAGACCCTGTCACAAAAAGGAAAAAAAAAAGTGCTTTTAAGTGTGCTCACTATTTATACTTTACCCAGAGTTCGCCATTTGGCTAATGAACATTCCTCAAGACAGCATCCCTATGCGTTGAGCTAAGAAGGTTCACTAAGCTTAGTTGAATATAAATGTAAACATAGACACATTTTGAATATCATGCACTTGAGTCCAAACAGTCCAAAACCCACAGTGCTTCTAGTGTATTATAGTTCACACTGCAGGATGCTTGTAGGATGTACTGGCCCATTTGATAATCACACAAAAATGGCTCATTTCTTCAGTTATGATGGTCCAGATACTGTAGTCCTGCTGGCAAGAAACCGCCCTTCTTAATTGCTACCATAACATTTTTGCTGAGTCAGTCATAGAACTTTTCATCTCAAAGGATGTCAGTGCCTATTCTTTAAAGTGAGCGCATGTCAAGGTGTGAATGGCGAGGGAGATTGAGAACACTGGAGCCGGCATCATGAGCTTACTAAGTTGATTGACCACCGAGTGGGAGGTCAGCTTGACAGAGAGGTTACGATATTGCATTATATTTTTAATAGTGCTTATTTTATGGGATTAATTTTTAAAAGCATGCCTACTTTGACAGATGCCCTGTGATAGGTCCTTGTATCTGCTGAGCACTTAGAATTCTTGGCTGGATTCTCAAATTCCTTTATTATTTAAGGCAGCTCAGGACTAGGCAAGGGCAGGAGTGCTTTGCAAACATGAAACGCGATGGGAGTGCTGAGTAATCACTTGTCTTCTACCCTTCCTCTCTTAGTCTCTCTTAACTTTAGAAAAATAAACAGAATGAAAACACCAACAGTCTGGCTGGGCGGAACTGAAGGATGACACCGGCACTGTGTTATGGCCCTGGGATTCGTGTCTTCCAGCTTCCTGTCTGAGCTGACTTTGGGGCACTCCCTCTGCCCCCTACCCCACCCTGCCCTCGAGATGTCTGCATACCAGATCTGTGTGTGTTTTTCCAGCATAGACATGAATCCACCCAGACAGGAAAAATGTTTTTCTGCCCACAGCCCGTGACAGAATACTGCTTTTTGATTCTCCTTTTTCTGTTTCCTGCTTCATGGTTGGTTGCAAAATTTCAGAGCATGATGGCTCCTTGAAGGCAAAGCCTGCTTCTCCCTTATCTGCAGATATTGTGCCTCGCTAGCTCCTGGTATACGCAGGTGCTTAGCAACAATCTATTGAATGATGATGATAAAACAGGAGACCATGGCAAGCTGGCGTAGAGAATAAGGCGGTCAGAGGTCACCTCCACAAAACCCTGGATATTACAAGGCAAAGGTGCTGTTCCTTCTCTATGAGGGAAACACCGAGGGTGCCAATGTTTTTCTGTCCTCTGCGATTGTAGGAGGATTTAGTCATTGCTTAAGTTTTTGTTTTTATTTTATTTATCTTTTTTTAGAGACAGGGTCTTGCTGTCTCCCAGGCTGGAATGCAGTGGCATAATCATAGCTCACTGTAGCCTTGACCTCTTGTGCTCAACGGATGCTCCTGCTTCAGCCTCTTGA